CGCGGCCTGCCCAGCATCCCTGGATCGCCGGCCCTTGTACACACTGCCCGCTAAAGGCATGCCGCGTATGCAGCTGCAAACGAGAGAAAACAACTCGCAGAGGCACGGCCTGACAGAGTAGTTAGTTAGGCGTCTTCTCCAGGGTCCAAAGGAAGGGTGTGGACTGAAAAGGAGGTTGTAGGTGTGACACAACCACCGGGTCAGGAGCCTTGAGATCAACTGTGACCTCAAATATCAATTGTGATCTCCTGTATTTGGGAAAGGTTCTTCCCCCAGAGGGTGCTGGCACTGCCCAGGCTCCCCAGGGAATGGGCACGGCCTGAGGCTGCCCGAGCTCCAGGAGGGTTTGGGCAGCGCTCCAGGGATGCACCGGGTGGAATTCTGGGCCTGTGCAGGGACAGGAGCTGGATCAATGATCCCTGTGGGCCCCTTCCACTCAGGATACTCTGTGATTCTACAGTTCTTAATTCCACTCCTCCACAAACCCAAACTCCCTCCTCTGTCAAAACCTGCACTAACCAACTGTACCAGTGAGGCAGCAGCCAGTGAGTTCAATTTGAGATATTAAACGCAAAAGCTTCATTAAAAACTGGTCCTGGCGTACAGACTTCCCCAGGTGCATCCATCCCAAAGGCCTGGTAAAGAAATCCCTTCTTTAGCTGCAGTGCTGCCCACACCACAACCCCCCAGTGAATGCTGGCACACAAGCCCAAAGAGCCCCGTGTTCATTCCATGACTGTCTCGGCATTGTGCAGGAACACTCGCTGCTGTATCTGCCAGGGCAGGAGCTGCCGGTGCCAGCTGGCAGCTGCTTCCTTCCTCCGGCCTCCTCAGGGCACCACGGCTGCCAAGGCAGTGGTTTCTCAGCACCTGTACTCACAGAAATGCTTCCACCCTGCTAATGCAAACACACAGACCTCGTGGGGCACATTTTGTCCACTTTTCCCAACAGCACGTTGCCAGCACTTTGATCTCAAATGCAAATTCAGCTCAGAACCTTTTTAGGATCTGCTGCTACCCAGAAAAATCAGTGCCACCTAAAATCTCTCGGCAGATCTGTCAAGCTCAGCTATTTTAGCTGCACGCTGCTCTTCATCCACCTTTCCACATGTGTGAACTGACTACCAGCTGGCCACTATCTCTGTATTAATCACCCTGAGCAAACATCTCAGCTTTTCACCACAGCTGCAACTGTCTGGTTAAAAATAGCCCAGATTCCAGCTTTCAGCCTGCACCTCGTTGTGTGTGTGCTGTGTGCTCCCATGGCAGCTCCTCCATCTCACAACTTGGTTCCTGAATTGCATTGTTTCAGTTTTGCTTTGGCCAAGGATGTGTCACCATCCGTGAGCCCTGACAGTCCTTTAAAATGAGGCAGCTTTTGGTGCCTACAGCTGATGCCAAGGAGGAGGAAGGAAGGAGCCATTGGGACATTGCTGCATGCATGGTCAGAGATTCTCTGAAAAAACCCACCCTTCTGCTGCTGGGGGAGATTTGGGTTTCTCTGAGCATCCTTTGCAGTGGAAAGTACTCACATGATTCCATGGAATTCATAGAATCACAGGTGGGACCTTTAAATATCATCTCAGTCTGGCTCTGCCATGGCAGGGATGCTTTCCTCTGTCCCAGGCTGCTCCCAGCCCTGTCCAGCCTGGCTTTGGGCACTGCCAGGGATCCAGGGGCAGCCACAGCTGCTCTGGGCACCTGTGCCAGGGCCTGCCCACCCACAGGGAACAATTCCTTCCATACATCTCACCTAAACTTATCCTGAAATTCAGCATAACTCAGGCAAGGCCAATGCTCATTAAGTGTAACATTACCTTGATGAACTGCAAAGGGTGAATACATCTGAAGTAGGACTCTGACACTGAACAGGGAAAAGTGTGCTCATTCTGACAACAGCTACACTCAAACCTTGTTAATTATACCCTCAGCAGTAGCACAAACAATTATTCTATCACCTTCATTTTCACAGAATATTTAATAAGTCACTGGAGTGAGGGATTTCATTAGTATGTGGTTACTGCACAAAAGGCACCGGGGACCATTTATTAGTGTAACCAGGAATCATTATAAAAACAAAAGTCACGACTTCTGCTAAGTCAAAGCAATGAATTTGCTTTCAGCTTCTTCTTACTTCTTTCATCATTTAGCCTGGCTCTCAGTTAATTGTGTGAGCAGTAATGGGGCAGCAGAGAGAGAAAATGGAACAGCACCTGCATTTCACAGCAGTGAACCTGCCCAGCTCCCACTGTTTTACAAACCACACACATGGGGATCCCTTCTTCCACACCACTGATAAGGAGAACCCAGTTCTTCCATCTTTTCATGCTGTGCATAAAAATATTTAGCAGAGTATAAACTGTGTTACATAAAAGCCTGAGCCTCCCCTGGAGAGATTTCCAAATCACTGAGAAGATCCATGGGCTTTACAACAAAACCCACGTCAAGGAGATCAAAACCCCTGGCTTAGCAGAACTTTGTGTTACAGCATTTCAACAGATTGCCAATTGGAAATAAAACTATGGGGAAAACAGGGAGACAAAATGAGCCCTGAGATTACACCAGAATGCACAGCCTGATTTGCAGGAAAGGCTGGTAGCCAAGTGGATGAAGCAGAAGGCAGATGAGGACTTCACTTGCTCTGATTTCATTTTCCAAATGAAAAATGAACTAAATGTGCAAGTTCTCGGTATTTGTTTCCAAATCAGAGACACGGAAACTTTTCCAAGTTTTAGGCTGCAGAGACTATGATATTAAAGATTAAAAGTCTCCTATTCAGAGAAATGTGCAGTTAGATCCTGAGAGAACACACAGCTGAGGAAGTTCAGCCCTATCTGCCATAACCCTCCAGATACTGAAAAAATCCTGGCTCATGCAGGATGTAAAATGCAAAAATCACTAAATCATCCCCAGATTCAGCAGTAATATGGATAACCCAAGACCAGGCACAGAAAGCTCACAATTTCTTACTTCTCCTCTGAGATCCAACAGCATCCCAGGCCAAAGTGTGATCACCAACACACCTGGCTGCAGGAGTGCCCATCCCTGGAGGTGGCACTCAGTGCTCTGGGCTGGGGACAAGGTGGGGATGGGGCACAGCTGGGACTCCATGGACTCTGAGGTCTTTTCCAACCCAAAAGGTTCTGGGATTCTCAGCAGCAAGGCCACCCTATAATGGCACTGAGCATTCCCTCCTCCCTCCCTCCCTCCCCCTGAGGCATCAGGATGCTGCCAGGAGAGGAGCAGAGCAGGGCTCTGTCTCCATGGATTGCTCCTCTGCAGACAAAATGGAAGCAGTCACTGCTTTGTTCTGCCCTCTGTTCCTCCACAGACACCCCCTGCCAGAGCAATGCCTGAGCGAATTCCCTTTGCACTGAGTGAAGAGCTGGGCTGATTTTGCCAGTGTGTACAGAGCAACATCTGTCCATGCACATCTGGCCCACTGCAGCAGAGCTGGGGGCTGCTGCTGCTGCTGCTTCCAGGAGAATGCCTCAGAAACGTCAGGAATCCCATTTAAACTCAGAAACACTTGGCATGAACGTGCTCCCAACCCAGCCCAGCACTGGGCAGCAGCTTCAAGCCACAAGCATTGCCTTGCAAAGTGACACTTGGCCAAAGTGACAACTTAATGCACAGCAAGGCCTGAACAATCCCTGAGCAAACTGATCCTGGGCTGTGAGTCAGCAGCGATGTCAGATGGTGATTTACACCAAGCAAACATTCTTTTCAAGCCTTGGGCAGAGATTTTTTTTTTAATGCATTGCTTTCCTTCCATGGATTTCAGATCTGGTCTGAGTTATCGAGGCACACAGTGTGTGTCCACTGCATCTACCCCATATCTGCCATTTAAAAGCAATGTTCTTCACTCCCATGAACAGCAAAGCAACTCAAAGTTTTGGGATAAAAAAATAACCCACAACTGACAGCAATAAAACTACATCCATTTTAAACATTAAGAATAATACAAACTCAAAATGTGTCCTCACAGTCATCCTTGACCTGTGCTGTGCTGAGAGGATTTAATCTCAGTTTTTATGACTCACCAAATTAAATTTCAGGAGGAAAAATGCAATCAAGCACTGACTTA